ACAAAGACCCATATCCCTCCAGTTCTCATAAATGTACACTGGCTTCCTGTCTGTGGAATAATATATTTCAAAATTACAACTTTTGGTGTATAAAGCACTGAATTGTGCAGATTACAGTAGCATGAACTGTTCTACAAATGTTGCCAATCTCTTTCCTCTGGTTTATCATTAACATGTTTGTCCAGCAAACTCATGTCACTTCCAGTTAGCTCAATCGTTTACTGGCAGAGAGCAGGGTCATCACACCTTCAAAACATCAAACCGATCTCAATGTACCAAAGGGTATTCGTTTGACAGAGAGGGGCAGTGGTATACAGTTACTAAGTAGATTTACTAAAGTACTGTACTTTAGTACAATTTTGAGGTATTTCTGCTTTACTTGAGTATTTCAATGTTTTGCTACTTTTTACATCCACTGCTTTTACATCCTCTTAAGCACGGCGGTCCCCCCATTGGACCCCTCCCACCGTTTTTTTTTCGAGATAATGTCTCAGGGCTTCTTAACATTTATGAAACTATTAATGTGTAGCACCAGATTAACGGGAATAATCTCAGCTAACTGAAGATATGAACCATTTTTACCAAAACAAAACACAAGTCTCATAAGAAGCGTCTAAATGACCCCTGAGCGAAACAATTCTAACGCACTGCGGCACACAATTCAAGATAAAGATACCCTTATTACTTATCGTAGCTGCACATACAATACAGCCGATTAGATAGATAGATAGATAGATAGATAGATCGTACTTTATTGATCCCAAATTGGGAAATTGTTTTTGTTACAGCAGCATAAAAGGCATTTTACAATAAAACAAAATATACAAGAATAGAAATAAAATAAAATAAAATATAAAATAAAATATAAAATATACATGTCAAAATACAAAATAGAAAATATACATACAGATATTATATATATATATATATATATATACAAATATATATATATTCAAAATATATGGAATTATGGAGTATTAAATATGAAACAGATTATGTGTGAGTAAAATGTACAAGGTGGTTTTATTTCTAGAGAAACTATGGAGCAGAGAGTTCTCTTCCAGCCAGAGGTGATTTATTGTACAGTGTTATTGCAGTGGGCAGGAATGTTTTCCAGTATCTGTCCTTGTGACAGGGGAGCTGCAGCAGTCTGTTGGAGAAGGAGCTCCGTTGACTGTCCAGCTGCAGGTGGAGAGGATGGCTGGGGTTATCCATGATGGACAACAGCCTGTTCAGTGTCCTCCTCTCCACCACAGCTTCAAAGGGTTCCAGCTTGATGCCGATGACTGACCCAGCTTTCCTGATCAGTTTATTGATCCTGCTGGTGTCACCGGCTCTGATGCTGCCCCCCCAGCAGACCGCAGCAAAGAAGAGTGCACTAGCCACAACAGACTGATAGAAGATCTCCAGCATCTTACTGCATACGTTGAAGGATCTCAGCTTCCTCAGAAAATAGAGTCTGCTCATCCCCTTCTTGTACACAGCGTCAGTGTTGATCCTCCAGTTCAGCCCATTGTCTAAGTGCACTCCCAGGTACTTGTAGACCTCCACAACTGCCACATCCTCTCCCAGAATGCACAGGGGCAGAGGAGGAGATGTCCTCTTCCTCCTGAAATCAATGACCATCTCTCTGGTCTTGGCCACATTCAAAAGCAGATGATTTCTTCCAGTCCACTCAACAAAATCACCCACCAGCGCTCTGTACTCCTCCTCCCGTCCATCCCTTATACACCCTACCACTGCAGAGTCATCCGAAAACTTCTGCAGGTGGCATGACTCTGAGTTGTATAGAAAGTCAGAGGTGTATAAGGTGAACAGGAAAGGAGACAGCACAGTCCCCTGTGGGGCTCCAATACTACCAACCACCACATCAGACAGCACACTGCCCAGCCGGACGTACTGTGGTCTGTCCGTGAGGTAGTTGGTAATCCAGGAGATGGTGGACGAGTTTACCCTCATAGCCTGCAGCTTGTCACTCAGTAGCCGAGGCTGGATCGTGTTGAATGCACTGGAGAAATCAAAAAAGGTGATTCTCACAGTGCAACCCGATCCATTCAGGTATGAGTGAGCACGCTGCAGCAGGTAAATAATGGCATCGTCCACCCCCAGGTGAGGCTGGTAGGCAAATTGCAGAGGGTCAAGGAATGATCTCACCTGCGGTCTGAGATGGGCCAAGACCAGTCTCTCAAGCACCTTCATCACATGAGATGTGAGTGCTACAGGGCGATAGTCATTGAGCCCAGAAGGAGTTGTCTTTTTAGGGACCGGAACAACGCATGATGTCTTCCACAGCACCGGGATGGTCTCCAAGTGCAGGCTCAGGTTGAATATATACTGGAGAACAGGAGCCAGCTGGCGTGCACAGGTCCTCAGGACCCTGGGGCTGATACCATCAGGGTCAGCAGCCTTGCCTTGGTGGAGTTTTTCCATCTGACTCTGGACCTGTCCTGTGCTCACAGTGAAGACTCCACAGATTATTTAGGTATAGTATCATCACTGAGCGATCCGAACTTGCGACAGGGGAAGCAAACACAGACATCACAACACGTACCTTTACGGAGCATTTACGGCAGATCGTCTCACCGTAGCTGTCAATTAGGTCAAAAGACGTGTTCAATGGCATTAAAACGAAAACAAAAAATGCTACAACTGTTGATCCATAGGTTGCTTCCGGTTTTGGTAACGCGTCACTCTCACTCCTTATTTGTCAACGTTTTGGTGTGTATATAACTTTCCCTCGATTCCATTGGCTCTAGCGGTTATAAAGAGATTTCATTCATCAAAATCGACCAAGGGGGGCCAGAGATAGGTCAAATCCACCCAAATGACCCCAGAAGTGGGTTTTCCACCTCTTCTCTTCACAACGTGTGTGTGTGGGGGCCTCCCCCTTCGATTCTATTGGCTCTAACGGTCAGAAAGAGGTCTCAACCATCAAAATCGACCAAGGGGGCCAGAGATATGGAAAACATTTTTTTTTCACCCAAATCACCTCAGAGGTGGGGTGGTTTTGGCTAAATCTCTCTAAAAGGGTCAAATTTCACTTGTTTTGCATCAATCTTGATACAGGGTACTTATTATATGTTGTACTTTGGATTCCTAAAGCTTTTAGTCTACTAACCCATCATCCAAGGGTAGTTTTCACTATAAGTAAAAAAGAATTTTTGGACGGACACTATAATTTACAGTTTTTTACTATGTAAAATCTGAATTTTCTTTAAAATAAAAAATATCTATATTGATTCTGACTTTTCTACATCCAACTCACAGGTTTATCATTACTTTGATAATAAAGATTATTAATTTAACCCTTTTAGAAGGGAAGATATGGTCATTTGTTCTGGGAATGTCATTTTCGAGCCTGAGACCTAAAAAACAGGCTCAGGGCTTAAGAGGTTAATACATCAATAATTATAGTAAAATCTTATAATATATATTATTCTGAAAAGTGCCAGTTTGCATAATAAGTACATTTTCTTTTGGTACTTTTTTGATGCCAATACTTTTGTGCTTTTACATTACATGTTACTTGTTAGACGGTTTTATCCAAAGCACAGGAGCAATTTGGGGTGAAGTGTCTTGCCCAGGGACACAACGACATGCTGACTGCAGTGGGGTTTGAACCTGTGACCCTCTGATCCGAACACTGCGCCACACGCCTCCCTCCCTTTTACTTGAGTAACATTTTGAATACAGGACTTTAACTTGTAACAGAGTATTCCTACACTCTGGTACTTCTACTTTTACTCAAGTACAAGATCTGAGTACTTCTCCCACATCTGCACAGGGGGCATTTGAAATAAAAAAACTGTAAGCAAGGGACATACTTTGAAATACTTATAATACTAGAAAGTATTGTCATCATCTACTCAATGACATTCTTAGAGTTGGAAAATAAAGATGGTAATAAGGAGTATTTACATATTTTCTCATAATACATATACAGTAAGGAAGGAAACAGACTGATTGAACGTGTATTTTCTATATATGCTCAATTTTTGTACTTTTATTTAGCATTCAAATGGTATTCAGCCAAATCAGGCCAGTCACTTTGAGTGAAATAACCCCTTCACTGGCAAGTGGGCAGGAGCATCACACCATCAACACATCTCATGTTCAATGTTCAATGTGCCGACAGGTCTTCCTCCTTCTTCTGATTTTGAAGTTTCAGGTTCCATATCTTCTATTTTTTATGGTGCTTATGTTGTATATCTTATAATACTACAGAAATGATGTCAACTTATAACATTGTATAACAGTGTTTATGATCAGTATATAGTAACAGTATTTTGCAGTATATACTCACTGTATACCAGTACACATGTATAGTATATACAAGTATAAATGTACAGTATATAACAGTAGATTACGTGTATGGTGAAGACATGGCTTCAGTTAAGGTTTAATATGATCATAATGGTAACGTGTACCTCCAGCAGGTAAAGTGTACTTCTTGAAACTCCTTACCAGGACCATGATGTGTTACAGGCAGCAAGCCTAGTTTTTAATGAACATTACTCTTACTTTCAAAATGAACAAGTCCAACTATAAAATATGTATTTGTCTATTTGTTGGCAAATGTAGCTCGGTAGATAGAAAATAGTTCCTACATGAAACTGCTCACAACCATGACTGCGGATTATTTTGTTCTACATCCAAAACGTATCTATTTGAGGCTATGAGCAACACAAGCCGAGTGGCATCTAGTGCCATTATATTCAAGAAGAAGCAGACATCTCTACGGCACACCAAAACAATACAGACTGATAAAGTGCATTACAGGAGCGAAGAGAAATATGTATTTCTGTTTTCTGGGGAACTGCTCCTTAAAAACTGTTGAAGAAGCATTCATGGAAAATTATCTTTATGTTTAAGGAAATTCATTATTAGGAAACTTGGCCCAGTTTGGTAATTTATTGTGCTTTATTAATATTTTGGATATCATCTTTTTCCTCTTCATGAAAGATAAAGAGTTCATCTGAAAAATAGAGGCAGAAATCTGACCAAGTCAACATATTTGTTTTATTAGAATGACCACACGGAGCACTGGGTTACACACACTTGATTAGGAAAGAACTGGTCTAACTCTTTACTTTGGTTAATCATGTACATGTTTGTCCAGCTAGTTCATGGTCATCACATCCAGTTGACTAAAAAGCTTTAGTGGCAAGTAGGAAGGAGCATCACACCATCATTACATTTCTGACGCATGTTCAATGCGCCGTCATGTCTTCCACTGGTACACCTGAACCCGATTATATCATCATGTTCGAAAAACATTTTATTGTCTGTACTATGTCTGAAGCCAATATTATGTGTAGTCAGGTCTTGACTATACACAGTGCAGGGTTCTGCAAGAGAAAATGGATACACAGCATATTGTTAATACTTAAAAGTCATTCAGAGGGGCAGGCATATTGTTAATGGCAAATTACTATAACGCCTAATTCATACGTACTACAAATATATTTAGGTCTTGAAAACTATAGTCCAAAATGTAATCAGTATCTTGTTCTGTTACAATACTCAACATTCAAAGCCTTACTAGCTAGCATACTGGTAAACAGACAGGAAGTTATATTGCCTTATACCAAAAACCTCACAGAATAAAAATATGTAAATGAAATTGTAACTTACTGAGGCATCTCATCTGTCCAATCCATTGACCATTGGTGCAGGTTTTGTGAGGACCACCCTGCATTATGTAGTAATTCGGACATAAGTATTTAACCTTGGCTCCGTTCCTGTACTCGTGTCCAACAGTTCCCTCAATGTCTCCATCTTCAAGGGGTGTTGGTTTTCCACAACCCGAAGGAGCTAAAGGAATGTAAAAAAAAAACACACACAAATAAATAAACAATCTTAGGGTTTAGAAGTCTGTAAACATACACACTGCCATTTTACTAGGTTCACTTAGCTTAAATCAAATACAGTCTATTGTCACAGCTCTGCAACAAACCATACCTTAATGCAAGTTTTAATGTTCAGGTCATGAACAAGGCGAAAATATGTCCAGATTGCAGTGTATTTTATGAAAGTTGAATCACCATGAAACAGTCAGAATAACTACTCCATACTAGAAGAAAGACGTTGAGGTTGATGTATTGTAAAAGAGCAAGAAAGAAAAGATTCACCTCCGCATGTTGGGAAGGGAGCACTCCACTGTCCGTTTGCTAAGCATGTCACTTCTGCATTCCCCATTTTTGTGGCAACTAAACGTCAACCTTTTGACTTGTCGGTCTGTGTAGAAGCGTACAGTGTCAGATACACCCGTGACTTTGCATTTCTCTGTTTGGAGAAGAGAATCAGGTCAATCAAGAGTTTGTACAATATAAACAATAGAATGACCAAAGATCTGAGTTTTTGGATTTCTTTTCTTATATTGGAACCATATAGAGGTACAGAAGAGTATGTGGCAGCATTCAGCATGACAAATGATATCTATTTAGTAGGGCTGTCAGTCGATTAAAATATTTAATCGCGATTAATCGCATGATTGTCCATAGTTAATCGCGATTAATCGCAAATTAATCGCACATTTTTTATCTGTTCTAAATGTACCTTAGAGGGATATTTTTCAAGTTTTTAATACTCTTATCAACATATGAGTGGACAAATATGCTTTATATGTTTGTTTATTATCATTTGAACAATGACAAATATTCTCATGAATATTAAACACAACAACCTGTGAACATTACAAATATTCGCCTCAATTCAACCTGGAACCTCTCTCATACAATAATACTGTGTGTGTGTGTGTGTGTGTGTGTGTGTGTGTGTGTGTGTGTGTGTGTGTGTGTGTGTGTGTGTGTGTGTGTGTGTGTGTTCCAACGGGAGCTGCCTGGACGCTGCAATCATGTTGCGCGTACTATCCGTGCTGAGTGTGCTGACTTTTCGTACAATGTCCCACTGTCTGGCTGCCTGCATAAAGTCAAGTGCTCGGCGCAGTTGTCGGCGAAATGTCATTGAAACAGCTCCTTATATCCGTTAGCTCAGCTAGCTAGCACCAGATGCTAACAACAACAACACGTAAGGTGTGCCTCGCTCGCGCGAGTCGCGCCACACATACACACACACCCTCCCGGTCCTCCCGATGGCCAGTCCGGTCCTGCCGGTGAGCGTGGAAGTGTGGTCTGCCACAAGCGGGCGGCAGGAGGGGGGCTGTCAGCATCAGCTTGTAGATGGTATTTTAAACTCGATGCGCTCTGAAACTACGGGGCGGCCGAGGACAAAAAATACACATGCGTTAATCGCGTTAAAATAATTAGTGGCGTTAATTTTTTTTTGCGTTAACGCGTTATTAACGCGTTAACTTGACAGCCCTACTATTTAGATGTTTGATTTTATAAATGAGTCTATAACGAGCATTTTTAAGCTGACAATAAATCACATTACATTGAATTTCCCGACCCGCCACTTTACTGGCTTGGTCTACTCTCGTGGCTCTCATAGCATCATTTTCATTGTCAGGGGGAAGTTTTTTTTTGGGAGGGCGGAAATAAACAGCACTGGAACACTGACTGCTAACTGAAGTAACAGTTATAGAATAGTTATAGTAAACAAAGTTAACTCAAAGATAATGACTAATGTCAGTGTCTGCTCGTTTCTACTGCCGCCAAGGGACACATTTCTTTTGAATATGGTATAGACAAAATATATTGCAGATGAGATTCTTGAGAGGACATTATGTTGAAACATTTCTGTAATTATTGATCACCAGACTTTGAGCTTAATGTTAATGTATCTGATATGTTAACAATCATCTTCTGTATCGCTAATAAACCTTCACATATTTAGATTGTGTCCTCATCTAGCTACCTTCATTTGTATGGTGTTGCTTCTAGAGATGGGCGAGTCCTGATTCATCCGGATCATTAACCCGGATCCTAGAAATGAGCTGGTCATGACGAGTCTCCCCTCTCCATTAACCCGAGTCCTTGAGTCCCACACTTGGTGTGACGTACAAATTAAAACTATAAATTGCGTCACTCGCTACTCTCTTTATAACATGTAAAATCACATTACAACGTACCCCAGTCCATCTACCTACCCTTTAGCAAGTATACAGGATAGCTGCCAGAAGTGATCGTTTGGCTCAGGGGAGGGGACGCGGATCAGTGAAACTTCCTGCAGACTCGTGGGGACTCAGAGGAGCCGACGGCTCCAACAGCAGACTCGCAGATTCGCAGACTCGCAGATTCGCAGATTCGCAAATCCTGACTCGCTGCAACACACAGCGGATCAGACTCGTGCGGACTCGGAGCCGTAACCATATAGCAGCAGATCCAGAGATCCAGCAGACTCGTCGTCATGCACGAGTCCACAGCAGACTCGGATTCGCAAATCCTGACTCACTGTGTGTGCAACACACAGCAGAGCAGACTCGTGCGGACTCGGAGCCGTATATAGCAGCAGATCCAGAGATCCAGCAGACTCGTCCTCATGCACGAGTCAACAGCAGACTCAGATTTGCCAAATCGCAAAATAACCCTTTTTTTTGTGATCAACATTTTTTATTAAAGCAAAATACACTGTGTAGCGGAGGTTAATTATAACGTCAGTTTAATAGATAGATAGATAGATAGTACTTTATTGATCCCAAATTGGGAAATTGTTGTTGTTACAGCAGCATAAAAGGCATTTTACAATAAAACAAAACTACAAAATATACAAGAATAGAAATAAAAATAAAATATACATGTCGAAATAGAAAATATACATGCAGATATTATATATATATATATATACAAATATATATATATATTCAAAATATATGGAATAATAATATGCTCGTGAAATGCAACAACTTTTCGGTTTCACCAATAGGATTTCTACGGTCTTGGTGATGCTGACTCATATGACTCAAATGACTCGTATGATCCGGATCTCTTCAATGACTGACTCAGAAGACCCTGAGTCCGTAAAATGATCCGGATTTGCCATCTCTAGTTGCTTCACTTGTTAAATTTTTTTGGTGAATAAACAATGAATTTGTTGTGTCTCGTCAAATGTGTTACTTATGTTTATGTATTATGTCTGTCATTTTCATGTTTTTTCACGTCTGGTCATGTCTGTTTATTTAGGTTCTTCATCTCTAGTCAGTCTCTGTGTTTATTGTCATGTCTCGTTTTCCATTTCCTGTTTTATTTTGTACTTACCTACTGTCTTTCCTGTTTCCTGTTTCTTAGTCCCCCTTGTGTGTTTTTCCCACCATCATCAGTGTCTGCCCCGCCCCTGATTGTTTCCAGCTGTTCCTCATATCAGGTTTTGTTTCTTTTGTTAATTTTGTAGGCTTAAGTTTTTCTTAAGTTCTCTTTTTGTTATGCCTAGTTTTTTCCTCCTTGTGAGCGCCTTTTGTTATTTCCAGTACCTACTGTTAACCTGTTAAGCCCGAGAGACCCCGGTACCGGGGCACTGCCGCAACATCTTGCAGGAAACAGTGTCTGAGGGAATGTTCATTTAACCTGTTAAGCACCAAGCCTGTTTTTCATGTTTCAGGCTCGAAAATGACATGCCCAAAACAAATGACTACAACTTAACTTCTAAAAGGGTTATATGAATAATTTATTTTATCAAAGCAAGGTTACATCTGTGAGTTGGATGTAGAAGTGTCAGAATCAATATAGATGTTTTTTATTTTAAAGAAAATTCAGATTTTACATAGTAAAAAACTGTAAATTATAGTGTCCTTTTCTTTTTTACAGATAGTGAAAACTACCCTTGGATGATGGGTTAGTAGACTAAAAGCTTTAGGAATCCAAAGTACAACATATAATAAGTACCCTGTATCAAGATTGATGCAAAACAAGTGACATTTGACCTTTTTAGAGAGGTTTAGCCAAAACCACCCCACCTCTGAGGTGATTTGGGTGAAAAAAAAATGTTTTCCATATCTCTGGCCCCCTTGGTCGATTTTGATGGTTGACACCTCTTTCTGACCGTTAGAGCCAATAGAATCGAAGGGGGAGGCCCCCACACACACATGTTGTGAAGAGAAGAGGTGGAGGCTTCGCACATGTAATTTTGCAGCATAGTGGACCGATCTCTCGCTCTGACATTTGGAAACGAAAAAGCAGTTTTATTGCTTATGGATTATCAGAAATCATTTCAAAGAGGACACAGACACATTGGATTAACCTATGGATTAACTGCAGCATCGTTTTTTTATCGTTTGAATGCCATTGAAGACCAGTTTTGACCAAGGTAAGCCATGTTAGCGTTTCTAGCTACCTAGCTCCACATGTTATGATGTACGCTTTCGTTTATAGCGTCGCAAATGTTTATCACTGAGTGTTGAGGTGGGCACCCCCAGATTCTGTGTCTCCAGCTGATGCTAATCGATGGGTTGGCTGTGCATCTAGGATAAGTAATAAGGGAGTTATGAGTGAGTTTAGGTGCAGAGATAGGTTACATGTTTTAGCTCGTTCAGAGGCTGAGTGTTAGCATTGTGGGTTTCTTTTGGAAAAAAAAATTAAAAAGATCAGTTAGCTGAGTTTCTTCCCGTTACATGGATATAAAACATTCATAGTTTATTAAATATTAAGATTCCTTAGACGTTGTTTCCTGCAAATGACGCGTTTATCCGCCCGGTACCGGGGGGGCGGTGCGTAACAGGTTAATAAACTATGAATGTTTTATATCCATGTAACGGGAAGAAACTCATCTAACTGATCATTTTTATTTATTTTTCAAAAGAAAACCCACAATGCTAACACTGAGCCTCTGAATTAGCAACGAGCGAAAAATGCTAACACCTTACTGCACCGAAAATCACTCACAAAACCTTATTATTTATCTCTTCTCCACATCCATGACATCGAATCACATCGTGAGGTGACACAGAATCGATGGGTACCCACATTATCACTGAATTATACGAATTTGCGACGTTATAAACAAAAACAGACATCAAAACAGGTGACGCTAGGTAGCTAAAAATGCTAACATTTTTACCTTGGCTCTGTAGTCTCTCCAAAGTGGTCTTCAATGGCATTAAAACGATAAAAACGCTGCTGAAGTTAATCCATAGCTTAATCCAATGTGTCTGTGTCCCTTTGAAATTATTTCTGATAATCCATAAGCAATAAAACTGCTTTTCCGTTTCCAGATGTCAAAACTGCATGCGCGAAGCCCCCACCTTTTCTCTTCACAACGTGTGTGTGTGGGGGACTCCCCCTTCGATTCTATTG